AAAAGCGCCTAAACAAAAAAAAAAAAAAAAAAATGAAATGTGGAATGTTGGACACTTCATGCACTCAGCTGTCGCAGCTTTAATTATGTGGCGAAGGCGGAGGGGCTATCAGACTCTGATTATGAATTACAAAATAACCTTATATAATTCATACACTATATGGATGAGTACATAGTGCCTAAGTACATAGTGTATACAGGTGCATCTCAATAAATTAGAATGTCGTGGAAAAGTTCATTTATTTCAGTAATTCTCTATGGGGTTCAGGTCAGGCGAGTTTGCTGGCCAATCAAGCACACCAACACCATGGTCATTTAACCAGCTTTTGGTACCTTTGGCAGTGTGGGCAGGTGCCAAGTCCTGCTGGAAAATGAAATCAGCATCTCCATAAACCTTGTCAGCAGAAGGAAGCATGAAACTTTTCCACTACATTCTAATTTATTGAGATGCACCTGTAAGTGCATAGTGTGTAATGCGTCATTTGGGATGCAGCTGTTAAAATAGTCTATGTGACATCAGTGTTTCAAATGTAATGTTATGAAGCTACAAGAATACTTTTTGTGCATTTATTCAACAATTCCTTGTCTTCAGTGTCAGTCTTTGAACCACTGATGTCACATGGACTATTTTAAAGATGGCCTTACTACCTTTCTGGGTCTTGATCGTGGTAGTTCCCTTGCGGTCTATGGAGGGTCAGAAAGCTCTCGGATTTCACCAAAAATATCTCATAATTTTCATTTTTGGGTGAACTATCCCTTTAAGAGTGCTGAGTGATGTTTTATTGTCTGTTGTGCAGTGAGAGGATCCCAGAAATGGCCGATTACTGTTACCTGTCCCGTAACTGTGGGGGCAGCCACACCCTCACCTACCCCAGCCGCCGCTACACCCGCCTTCAGCACATCACCCATCTGATCCAGAGCGAAGAGGAGAGTCGGCCCGTGTCCACTGGACCGCCCACACAGGTCTGCCACAGAATCCGTTGAAAATGTCATAAACAGTGAGTATGTATGAACTGTGAGCTGTGTTTCTTCAGGCAGCAGAGGTGGACATCTTAGGTTTGGATGGACAGGTCTACAAGGGCCGAATGAGCAGCAGAGCAGTGAGACTCTCCGAGACCAGATTTCCCACCATCTCTCCTCGAGAAGGTAATATCACACATCACACTCCACACACAGTAATAGCCAGAGGGAATATTTGCACAGTAATGACCCATCAAGTTTGATTAAGCCATCAAAATATGAGGAGTATGTTATATTGGGATAATGAAATATGGGTTTTTGTTTAGCTATGCAAATGCTTATAAAAACAAGTAACTCACAGGAAATAAAGCATACTTTGACTACAATATAGTCAGTTATTAATATTTCACTGGTTTTTGGTACTCCTAGGCATTACTCAATAAGCTTTCTGCATGTATCATGCCCAATTTCTTGCAAAGCCTCATTAAATTCCTCCCAAAGTTGAGATTCATTCATCAGCTATGAATTTCCCAGAGGTTTTCAATGGGATTAAGTAACACTCTCGCTGCTCGCCTGCATTGTGTATGTAGTGTGTTTGGGATTATTGTGTTAGAAATGTCACATTCAGTATGGCTAACACCTGCCATAGTGATTGATTCAATTATAGGCTGGGAATAATGAGAGCAAGCTTTGTATGTTAGCTTTGGCCAAAAATGATGTCTGCACGATTCGGCATGTTTCATAATCACAACTGAAAACACAAAATAGGAAAAATGTCTGTTTTCCTAGACATCAATTTTGGCCATTGACACAGTATCCATTCCTATCACTTCTAAACATTTATAAAGCCTCCATTTACTGTAATGAAAGCTTTAAAAGTTCATTTAAATATGAGAGTTTTGTCCTTATTTACTCACCCTCATAATGTTTCAAACCTGCATACTGCTATTGTTTTATTGACCACGCCTGTCAATTTCCAAAAATGACAACCAAACTATAAAAACACCATTTAAGAATTATAAATGTAGTCCATACGATTTCTGTGCAATATTTTAAGCATTCTGAAATCATATGAACAGGCGTTCTTCTCCACTGTAGCTCTCAAATCTCAATTTTTGTATATGCTAATTATCAAAGTCCCTTTAAGGCAAGCCATGTCACTCGGCGGCCATCTTTGAAAAGTGCAGCTCCTATCACTTTGAATGGGGAAACATCAAATTCTCCAAAACTGTTCACTAAGCTTACGATTAAATTTTATATTTGAAATCACTAATGAAATCTGACAACAACTGTGTCATAAATGTTGTTTCTTTTGCTCAAATAGCGTTATTAAAAGCTTATTTTTCAGGCTAGATCAGCCAGTGCGCATGCGCAGTCTTGAGTGCACGTCTCAGGGCGCTGACTGTTTCTATAGCAACCGGGACGTCTAATGGCAGCTGCAGTGATGCGCTGACTTTACCGATTAGCGATGGGCTCTTTCATTCAGAAGGCGGGGCTTCCTGCGATTGAGCGGCCATATTAAGCGTTGCATTTTTCCTCATTCAAATCTATACGAGTGACACGTCTTGGGTATTCTATAGTCTTTGTAATTCTTCAGAAGACTTGGAATAAAGCACATGAGTTACATAGACATCTTTCATGGTGCGTTATGGTGCTGCTCCACCTCAGTGTCATTTACCTTCATTGATTTTTCATTAGCATTATTGTTTTTGGAGTTTCAGCACCTAGAAATAGAAATATCATGAATTCGAGAGAACTGGTTATGGACGTCTTAAGGCCCGTTCACACCAAGCACGATAACTATAAAGATAACGATAAAGATATAGTTCTAAAAATCGTTCTCAATATTAAATCTTTATAGTTATCGTTCTTGGTGTGAACGGGTCTTTAGGCGTATTTCATATTGTATTTCAATGCTTTTTCATTTGCAACTTTTGTGTTCTCTTGCAAAAGTATTGCATTCCCTCAAGAACCTTTACGTTCTCTTTCAAAAATATTGTGTTCCCTCAAAAAACTTTGTTTGCTTGCCAGTCTTTTGCATTCTCTCACAAAAGTACTGCGTTCCCCTAAGAAACTTTGTGTTTGCTCGCTCCAGATCTGGATCAGCGTTGACATGAGAACAGTTGAGCACATGAATGACTGATTCTTGAGCTGTAAGCTGTTCATTGATGGTAGGAACTTCTGTTGTGTTCAGGACAATGTCCAGACTGAAGTCTATAAAGGGGCCTCATGGCCCTGATCATGCTTCCCCTCACGACTCGTTACACAACGCATGTTATCATGATAGCATCATAATATCCATCTGCACGCTTGACCCACTTTTTGCTCATCTTGCTGTGGACAACTGGGTCTGGACTGCGGGGGAGAAGAAGAACTCCCTGGTAGCAGACAGAGAAGATTACTGAAAATTTGATTTAGTGTTATGTAGAGTGGTTGGTTGTGTTGTAGTTTTATTCAGGACTGAGGAAAATAGGACTGAAGGAAGAACAGTAGGGCTTGAGATTGGACTTGGTAGGGTGCCTAGTTTAATGTTGCTTGCTGGAAAGAACCGAACATTTCTGTGTTACATAATAGCAGAGCAGCAATGAGAAACCATCTGGAAGTGACAACAGACCTGGAGGAAAATTGGTCTCAGACCTTGCCCTTCGTTGTATCACCGAATCAAAGGAAGATGGTGAAAGTCAAACAAAAAAGACACTTGCTTGGCAGATGAGCCGTGTCATGCTTGACCGAGCAAACGTTTGGCAGCTTATCCATGTCATGAGGTAAAGAGATGATTTATGAGAAAACAAGTCTAGTGTTGAAGGTCAGAAGTTGTTGTTTCCACACAAAGCACAACAGTCACATTCTTGAAGAAAATATCTCCACAGAGAAAGAATGATGTAAAAACCGTTCCAGACAGACCTACCATGAAACCATTATACCATATATAATTTTAGGGAAATTAGACCACATGACATTTTATAACCTAAGCCATGTCATAAAATGGTCAAATTATCTGAGAATTTAAAAGATTATTGACCTTGACACAGTCGTGAGGGCTCTCTATGATATTGTTTGCATTTTTAACATTGATTTAAGCTTGATTTGGCCTTGAAGGACTTGCTACTGCCAATAGATATATAGACATGCTGCTGTAAGCATGTAAGATATGCTGCTGCATGAATAGACATTCATAAATCCAGTAGCAGATTTAGACAGGTGGTGCTGGGGGAGGTGGAGAGTCTCAGAGGAACACTATAGCGTGCTGCAGGACCAGCTTACAGTGAACTCTAAACCAGACTATTTAAATGTTGAACAAGCAATCTCATTGGCTGCAGAATCAGCAGTCAAGCTTGTGCCATGCAATGAATGATGTGATTGCTAGCAGGTTGCATGTTAAGGACCTTCAGTCTGCGCCATCTAGAGTTTCATGATTGAACTATATGTTTTTCCCTAAGAAATAGTAATAAAGGTTTGTCAGACAAAAGTTTATGTCTGCTGCTGCATGAATAGGTATATATATATATATATATATATATATATATATATACAATATA